ATCACAATGCAAAGAACACATGATCATGTGATGTCTAACCTCAACTGACTGATCTACAACAGAACTCCTACACCGAAGGCTCAGGGAACACAGTGGAAGAGCAGGCAGGGAGACTCTAAGAGGCAAAAAAGCAGGAGTTTGCTATGAGACTGTGTCTCCTAGAAATGTCAGAGAAACTACACCCATGATGCCTTAATAACATGCTACCTAAACAAGACACGAACAAGGACAACACCAACAGACACAATAACATGGAAAAGGGAAATCATACGGAGCCCTAAACACAGACAAAGAACTACAGGCAACTAAGGAATTCTGAGAGCAGGAGAAATAATCTTCCCCAGGGTAGAGCCTCTGAATTGATTGACCAATACCAAGTGATCAGGCCTGAAACCATATACATATAAAGTTTTATCTATATATCCAAGAATGAACTTATGAAAGTAAGAGGGGAATGGTAGGGGTTGGAGGAAGGAAAGGGGAAGGGTAAGTGATGTAATAATATTTTAATTTCAAAAAATTAAAAACTTAATCTAAAATATTTCAAAATTCTAATTTTAGGTTCATTTATAATATACAGTTCAATAATGCCAAAGTTACAGTATAGATACTTCAAAATTATATTTCTTCAGTAATAAGTTTTCCAATGACTTTTTAAATCAGCTACTGAACAACTACAAGAGCCTCTTCCTGTGTCAAATTCATTTTAGCAGTCTTAGGAATGAGAACATTAATAAACTTTATCTTAGACAAAGAAAAACTTTTTTATTATCTTCCTGGGAAGCCTTTAGTTCATATTCTGTTGGTTTTGTTAAACACCTCATGGGTATATGACCTTAAGATTCTGTTCTACATAATTCTAAGACCATTTTCAATACATAAATTCAACAAGCCTACATGTAGGTTTTGAATTTAACCCAACAATCATACCAGGTAATAGTTCTCGAACCCGTCATTTAAAGGACGTTAACCTGTGCTTCCCTTTGTCATGTCCCCTCCTCAACTCTGGCCTTTACCCACATGACCAAGGAAACCATCATTACATCGTCCAGTTTCCAAAGCTAATGGTTCCCTTTAAAAATTATCCCAGAGGGGACGAAATGTACTAACAATGGAAAAATAAAGGAAGATTAAACAGCACAGCTCTTTAAAAAAAATTATGCTGACCCTCAGTCTACTTAAGAGAAGCATGTCACTGTGTAAAACTGCCGACACAGGCACTTGTAAAACCAGGTCACCATGTTCTTGCTAGCTTCTAGACCACTGCCATTCAAAAAATTTACTATGGTTAGAGGGATGTTTTATATCTGTGATCTTCGTAAGTCATCACCTGGCAGGCTACTGGAAAACGAAGTTCACCTGAGGTTTTATTTAATTTACTAAGCATGAGCAGCCAAGCTTCGACTGTGATGAGTTAGCATAGGATTAGACTTTCTTTTTCTTTATTTCTTTACCATCTTGAGCATTATACAAATGTTCTCATTAAACTTTCTGTCTCAACTCATCAGTCATCTCTGTATTACGTAGCTAGGCAGAGTTACAATCTTGAAAGGACAGGTTATTGAAACTCAACTTTAAAGATTACATTATGGTATGAATCTGAAATGCCATGATAGCCTCATGTGTTGAAGCCTGGCCACCAGCTGGTGATGCTAATTGGGGAGCTGGAGTCAGTACTAGCTAAAGGAGGTCGATTACGGTTCTCCTTTAAAGGTCCCCAATGTTGTGTCTTGAGGTAGACAGAAATCAGCATGGTGGTTTCTCAGAAAATTGGGAATCAATCTACCTTTAGACTCAGCAATCCCACTCTTGGGCATCTCACCAAAAAATGTTCAACCATACCACAAGCTCATTTGCACAACTGTATTTCACAGAAGCATTCTTCGTAATAGCCAGAACCCGGAAATAACCTAGATGTCCCTCAACTAAAGAGCGGATACAGAAAATGTGGTGCATTTACATTACACACCAGAGTATTACTTAGCAGTAAAAAAAACAATAACATCTTCAAATTTACCGGCAAATGGATGGAATGAGAAAAAAAAAAAAGACATCCTAAGTGAAGTAACCCAGACCCAAAAAGACAAACATAGCAAGTGCTCACTCACAAGTGGATATCAGATGTAAAGAAAAGGACAACCAGATGCCTCTGCCAATTCTAGGGTTTTGGAAGTTGCTTACAATGTACTTCCTGTTAATTTATGTAAAATTATATTCTTCTGGGATCATGATGGAGTTGAAGAATAGATAGTTATAGTTTTCCTTAGTTATGATAAAAGATAAAGTAAATATAAATATTGTAACTATAATTCTTGCTTGATACCTTTTTTTCTATATGTAATTTTACTTTGTTAAAGTTAAAACCTTTTAATTTAGACAGAAAAGGAGAGGTGATGTGTGAGGTGATGTATACTGTGAATATGGTTTATTGCCATTGGTTTATAGAGAAGCTGCTTTCGGTCAATGGCTTAACAGAATACATTCAGCTTAGAAGAGGTATATAGAGAGAGAGTAGGCGGAGTCAGGGAGAAGCTATGTAGACCCTCCAGAGACAGACGCTGGACGAAACTTTACCCAGTAAGCCACAGCCACGCGGCAATACACAGATTAATGAAGATGGGTTAGTTTAGAATATAAGAGTTAGCCAGAAACACAATTAAGCAATTGGCCAAACAGTACTGCAAATAATATAGTTTCTGAGTGATTATTTTGTGGTCTGGGTAGCCAGGAATGAACAAGCGGCCTCCTACTCCACCTAGGCTACAATCTACAACCCCTGAGAAGCTAGATAACAAGGAAGATCCTAAGAGAGATATGCATGGATGCCTCTGGGAAGAGGAAATAGATAAGATCTCCTGAGTAAATGTGTGTGTGTGTGTGTGTGTGTGTGTGTGTGTGTGTGTGTAGAGAACAAGAGGGAATGGGATGGTTGAGTTGGGGAAGACAGAGACAGCAATGAAGGAGATCTTGATAGAGGGAGCCATTATGGAGTAAGGAAGAAACCTAGTGCTAGGGAAAGTCCCAGGATTACACGAGAATGACCCCAGCTAAGGATCCTAGCAATAGCAGAGAGGGTGCCTGAACTGGCTTTCCCCTGTAATCAGATTGATGACCACCCTAATTGTCACCATAGAGCCTTCATCCAGTAACTGATGGAAGCAGATACAAAGATCCACAGCTAACTGAAGAGAGGGAGGAGGGATCATATGAGCAAGGGGGGGGGGGGTTAAGATCATGGTGGGGAAACCACAGAGACAGCTGACCCGAGATAGTGGGAGCTCAGGGACTCTGGACTGACAGCTGGGGAACCTGTATAGGATCAAACTAGGCCCTCTGAATGTGGGTGACAGTTCTGTGGCTGGGGCAGTCTGTGGGGTCACTGGCAGTGAGACCAGGATTTATCCCTAGTGCATGAACTGGCTTTTTGGAGCCCATTCCCTATGGAGGGATACCTTGGTCAACCACGGAACAGGAGGGGATTGGTCCTGCCTCAACTTGATATGCCAGACTTGTTGACTCCCCAAAAGACACCTTATCCTGTCTAAGGAGTGGATTGGGGGGTTGGGTGGCGTGAAAGTGAGGGGGGACAGGAAGAGAGGAGGGAAGGGAAATGGTGGTTGGTATGTAAAATGAAAAAAAAATTCAAATAAATAAAATAAAACACTGAATGATTTTATGTGGGAATAAAAAGCCCCAATGCCTTCCTCTCTCTCCTTCCTGGTTGCTGGTAGCTGACCAACTCTGTCCCTCCATGACCTACCACAATGGACTGAAATTAAGCCAAGAAATCTTTCTTCCTCCAAGTTGTTCTGGTCACCGTGACAAGAGAAGCAAATACAGATTAACTTCGAAAGTGCTCTTTTCAACGAAGAGAATTAGAATCCGTTATTCTGTATTTTCTAGGCAGTTTCATAAAATCTAAAGAGATAACGCCTACCTCTGTGTGCCTGAAATTAAAACCATACAATATACTCTCCCCTGAGTTCTTGGACATGGCTACATAATTAGTCCATGAGGATAATAGTATAATGAAATATAAATACAGTACAACCAAGTAGGAGTATGGGAACAAGTGAAGACCATTTTATAGATGATCGATCGATCGACCGATAGATGTATATAGATATATATACATATGCATCTACATGTATAGATATATACATATCTATATCTACATACACATCCACTCTCTATGATAACACAAAACTTAGTGAATAGACACATAATCTATCAAGTGCAATAATGCACTGGGACCATCAATGAAGAACTATGTGACATCTCTCTCTGGAGATATTTACCAGACACACAACATCAAGCTTGGCCCTAGGTTTTAAGAAATTTGTGTGACCACTGCTAGTTCCTTCCAATTTAAACTATGGACAAATATATGGTCTGAAAATAAGATTTCTTTTTTTTTTTTTTTTTTTTTTTGAGACAGGGTTTCTCTGTAGTTTTTTGGTGCCTGTCCTGGAACTAGCTCTTGTAGCCCAGGCTGGCCTCGAACTCACAGAGATCCGCCTGCCTCTGCCTCCCGAGTGCTGGGATTAAAGGCGTGCGCCACCACCGCCCGGCAAGATTTCTTTAAAAGCTAAAAGAGAAGCACTAAGAAAAACAATGTTAAGTATTTTAAATCCCCTTTGTTTCTCCTGTCTCCTCCTCACACATAAACTGTTTAGTCTTTTATTTTCCGTTTGGTTATAAAGCACAGATGTAGGTGTTGAGGGGGGGAAAGCCATAATGGCTCCTCTCTGGAGCTGATGTAAAGTCTTCCCACCCATCAATCTCCTCTTTTCTTTGACGATCAGTTGGGTTTTGAATAGCTTTTGGTGGAGGGTGGGTAGGCGGACAGAACACTGGAAACAATCTCAGTATTCACGGAAAAGATTCAAAAGAATTCAAAGCATGTGAGTGTAAGTTACATGCCTAACTGTATACCGACTTCTAAACAGTGCTGATTTGTCCTTTTCTAGTCTGGAATTTGAATAAACAATAGAACTTACTATTTTGAGCCAAGGCTTGAAGCAGACAATCCAAGCATCCTTCTAAGCAGTCCTCTGTCCTGTCAGCAGCTGTGATCTTCAGTTTCTTTAAGGTGTCACTGAGATTATCTGTTTACAGGGAAAAAAAAAAAACCAAAAAAACAGAATCTTCAATATTCTAACCATCACATGGTGAAAGAAAACCCAGTAGCTCCTAGCATACAAAAGTTCCCACTTGGCCAGTTCTCAGCCTCCTAGTGCTGCAACCCTTTAATACAGTTCCTCAAGTTTGCTACTGTTATGAATCATAATGTAAATATCCGATATGTGGCCCCTATGAAAGGGTTGTTCAACGCCTCCCAAGGGGAGCTTTAAAGCACACACTGAGAACCATTGCACAAGACAGAATTAGCCTCCACGCACATTCCAAATGGCTCTGAATGCATGCAATAAGTTACTGCAAATTTTAAAAATTTAAAATTTAACTCAATTGAGTGTCCATTTAACTCAAATATGAACTAGTAACTCCATATAATTAAGATATCATGAATATCACAGATTATAATGACTCTTTCCAATATTCTAATATCTTATTGAAGAAACCAAATACACTTGAGAAAAATAGTCATGAAAGCATAATTTTAAAAATCATATTTAGTTTCATATTTTGCTTCTATTCTCTTTTATATTTATGTATCAACTGTGTGTGTGTGTGTGTGTGTGTGTGTGTGTACAAATACGCTCAGGTCAGGCACCTTTGTGGACCTGAAAGGTAAGCTTTCTCCTTCTACTCTCCAGATCTTCCGGGGACTGAACTCAAGTTATCAGGTTTGGCAGAAAACACTGTTTCTGCTGAACCATCTCACCAGCTTGCACCCTTGTAAATAAAGAAAATAAAAATGAAAGTCTATAAAAGTTTCAATGATTTCAAATAATATTAAAGGTGATACAAAGTCTATTTTTATAAGACCATTTGAAAAGTGCCTTATAGAGAGTATTGCTTTAAAAAGCAAAACAGTCTGAGTTACAATGATCGTTCTCTGTCCTCGACCATGGAATCTCAAAATTTTTATTGGGATTTGCCAAAGAACTTTTTTTTAAACAATATTTCTATCTAAATTGCAAAAGTAAAAACTAAGACTTTCAAAGTTTTATTTTGTAAGTAATCTAAACATTGTTTGAAATGAAAAGCAGTGGTATAGAAAACAAAACGACTGGAGTGGCTTGTCTTTATAGGCGCAGTGTGTGGCTCAGCAGAAGATGGCAGAATCATCTTACCTCCTCTACTCAGTCTTTTAGGATGTGCAGATTTAGAATCCTTTGACTGAGCAGAGGTGGAAAAAACAACAGGCTGAGAAGGTAGTCCTGTACAGCCCTCTCAGGTAACTAACTGGGGAAGCTGTGCTAGTACAAGCAAAGTTGTATTTCTTCAACAGTTAGCTGCCGTGCGAAATCAGAACAATCCCCTTCATCATTTCCAACCACTACATTAGAATCTGTTGATCTCTTGCTCATTAAATATTTCATGTACATAGGCTGTTTATATTTCTGCATGAGTCACTTAAAAACATTAGCACTGAATTATGTTTATCACCAAGTGCTGACATACCTCACTAAGCAATTTCAAGTTACTGAATTTATTATATCACCACCAATCTTGTTTTTAAAGAAGCGTATTCAATATTGGGAAGCTATCGGTGGGTGTAACAAATGTGATTTAACTTTCCCAAGTTTTCAATTTTATCTTGAGACACTCTAGTTTTATCACCAACAAGAAATATAGCTAGGTTTTTTTATCATTTAAACGACCAACTATTTACCAGTAAAGACACGAAAGACACAGTCTGTTCTAATTTAAAGAAAGGAGGCAGGCTCTCTAGGGATGAGAAGAACTCCCGAGGATCTGCAGCTGCACCAGTGCTCTTCACGACCACTGCGGTTCACGGCACAACAATGCGTCCTCCACACAGATTCAGTTTCCTACTGTACAGCTTCTAAAATGCAGGGGAGATGGCACCGCAGTTAAGAGGACTGGCTGCTTTTTCAGAGGACCTGCGTTTGGTTCCTAGCATCCACATGGCTGTTCACAACTATGTGTAACTCTAGTCCCAAGGGATCCAAATCCCTCTTCTGACCTCCAAGGGCTCCAGGAATGCATGCAGTACACGAGCATACATGTAGACAAAACATCCATACACATAAAATAAAAGTCTACTCTAGCATGAACATACTTAAAGCTTCTTAAGGCTTATAAAACACATTAGTAAAGATTTAATACTAATACCATCTGATTGGTATACATAAAAATATCAACCGTCTTTTTAACTCATAAAAACTAACTGTACCATTTTCAGTGAAGAAAACTAACACAATAAAAACTGAAAATAGTGGACCAATAAGATCTTACTTCCAAATAACACCCCGTGTGTGTGTGTGTGTGTGTGTGTGTGTGTGTGTGTGTGCATGCACTACCGATCCAACCCAAACCCTATACAAGTCTTCCATCATTCAGTTAAATCTCCAAAGAGCATACATTTTAATCAAGTTTTGTACATGGCAAGTTTATGGTTTTTCTAGAAATGTGGTATCCTTACTTTAAAGAGATGAATGATGTACTCTTTGGGAAAGATTAAATTTACAAAAATCGTATCAAGATATTTAAAAGAGAAAAACATGGTCTAGTTCAGTAGTTCTCAACCTTGTGAAGTTGCAACCCTTTAATATAGCTTCCCACATTAACTCCCAACCATAAAATTCTTTCCCTGTTACTTCATAACTAACTTTGCTGTTATGAATTCTAATATAAACAACTGATCGGCTGGATATCTGTGATATGACCCCCTCAAAGGGCACTGAAAACGGCTGTTCTACTCAGCACCCACATTCTCTTTCAACTGTATGTCCAATGCCACCCCAATACTTAGCATGATACTAGATACTAGATTGCACTAGAGAATAATTTACAAATAAGTCTAAATATAACGTTTCTAAACTGAGTAAAAACAGGACTCTTTGTCCTTTTGTTTGGAGTCTCACTATGCAGCCCTTGCTAGCCTTGACCATGCTAGACCAGGCTGACCTTGAGATCAAGAATCCCCTTGCCTCTGTCTCCCAAGTGTTAGGATTAAAGGTATATACCACTGTGCCCACCCAGTATAAACAGTTTTAAAGAAATAGTTCAAAATTACAACTCAAAGTAATGCAATACGCTGTAAGAATCACTCAATAAACACTAATTGGCTGATTTACAACTGATAATCTCTACAAATACTAATATCCACGCCTTCAATCCAGTCTCTTATGTATTTTACAGTCAGAACAAATTAAGTAGTCCAAAACTAAATATATAACCTTCTTTCTAAATTTATTCTCCCAACACGCTTTGTAAAGATCTCTCACCGCCTCGCTCCACAGACACCTATCACTGACATCTGTATCCCTCTGATGGCTTCCCTATCACATCCTCAGTGCCATGCTTGACAGCCCTCTTAAGGTCCATTTTACACGTCATCATCACCTCTGAGGCTACCCCTGCCCATTCCACCCAAACCTTTCCTTCCTTAGCCCTCCAGGGCTTTCTTTATAAATACCCCCCCTTCTCTCTTTCTCTCCTAGACAGGGTTTCTCTGTAGCTTTGGAGCCTGTCCTGGAACTAGCTCTTGTAGACCAGGCTGGTCTCAAACTCACAGAGATCCACCTGCCTCTGCCTCCCAAGTGCTGGGATTAAAGGTGTGCACCACCACCACCCAGCTCTTTTTAATTTTTTTAAAATGAGATTTCAAGTAAAACCACAAATAAAAGCATCATGGGGCCATGCCTGATGGCTCACTCTTTTCATCTCAGTACTCAGGAGTTTGAGGTCAGCCTGGTCTACGTAGGAAATCCCAGGCTCACCAGTGTTTCGTACTCAGAACTTGTGGGTTTTTTTTTTTAATATCACATAACTTTTTAAAGGAAGCCACTCAGACGGGGCCCCAGTCCCAAAGTCTGTGCATCTTCGTAAATGTCTGCACCATGAAAACATACATTCTGAAGCAGTGAAATTCTGCTTAGGGTTATTTATGTTGACTACCAGGTATGTGCTTTCTTGGTATAAGTCACACATTGTCTTATATGAAAAAGACATTTTGGTGGGAAATATTTTTGCTGTTAATACATTTTCAGGCTAAAGCATAACTGTTAGAATATTTCCCTAGTATGTACCACTGCAAAAACAAAAAAATGTAAAAAAAAATACTTCTGCTTACTGAGGGGTTTGTCCATTTCCTTCTTATTACAATACACATCAGCAATGGGAGATGGAGACATTTTCACTGCACAGTTGCACTGTGTTGAATTATCAGTAGTACAAAATATGGTTTAAATGGAATTTCCAAGAACAGTAATTTGTATGGTAAAGATTCCTACCTGAGATTTCTTATCATAGTGTATATGAAAGAGTCTAAAAATACTGCCCTCTGTTTCCTACTGAGACAGAACCTCTAGAGACATATGCCATGGGTTCACATGAAATTTTAAACTGATAAAATTTACTGACTCCTGCTGTCACATGGACTTGTTAGGAACCGCACTGCTGAATTTTATATTTCCTGTATTTGTCAAAGGTGGGCAACCAAAAATTTGGAGAAGTAAAAATGTTGTTACCTTTTCCAAAAGATTAAGGCCACAAAAGGGATAAGCCAGGTGGTAGCGGCACACACCTTTAGTCCCAGCAATCCGACAAGGCAGTGAGTTCTAGGCCAGCCTGGTCTACAGAGTTCTTGGACAGCCAGGGCTGTTAAACAGAGAAACCCTGTCTTGAAAAACAAAACGAACAAACAAAAAAGACCACAAAGGAGGCAGAAGTGTTCCCATCCACTCTGGTTAGCTAACTAGCTACTGGACTGGACTCTGACTGTATTACCCAGGCTGGTGTCTTGACCGCCTGGGAACATGTGACCCTCTCATCTTAGCCTCCAGGTAGCTGGGCCTACAACTGCACAGCACCTGCTGTCCCTGGCTCCTCTCAGTATATTAATCTCATCAGTTATTCCTGTGCAGGGAATGAAGGGGACGGAGGTGGCTGCCCAGTGAGGCAGAGAAGGCCGGAGGTGTCACTGTGATAGATGATGCTCCATTAGGAGGCCTGAG